ACAAAGGGAACCAGATCTAGCGTCCGTGTGACGGGTGCACACTCACGCTGCTCCACCCTCCCTGCTGACCAGCGTCAGTTTGTCAGTTTCCCATAAGTGAGCTTGTCAGTTTCCCGCAAGTGAGCGCGGAGGCAAAAGCTCCCGCTCTGGGTTTGTTTTCTCATCTCCATTCTGTTCATAATTCGTACCGTGAAAGCATGTTACCTATGGATTCTTAAGAACATCATTAAAGGCTTTATTTTCCTTTCTTTAATAGCATCACACTCTGGAGACAGCCCCGAGTTCAAACACAGACTTGCCCACTTCCAAACTCTTAGGCAAGTTGCTTCATTTGTCGGGGCCTCAGCTTTCCCGTCTGTAAACTGGGGTTGGGGCGGGGGCCCAGGTATCATGGTATCCATCTCTCAGACTTGCTGTGAGGATTGGACTGACTCAGGCACCCAGGTCAGTGCCTGTGCAAAGGAGATGCTTGATTGAACGGTCTCTTATTTTTTTAAGTAAAATCAATTAACAGTAATTACTATTAGGAGAAGAGGCAAGAAACGGACTCAACCTCTCCTTCAGGGTTCCCCCCGGCCCCGAGCCTCAGACCTCTGCCCGGCTGGCCAGCTTTCCCGGAATCCCAGCTCAGAGTCCCAGGCACAGCACTCAGCAAATATTTGTCAAACTGGGAGAAAGAAAACTGTTATCTTGTAATTTTCCATCTTAACATCCTCTCTTCCAACTGCCCTCATCCAAAGCAGCCAGAAAGCCGAGGATCCCTGTCCCCTCCCCTCCCTCAACACTGCCCAAGAGTTTCTGAGGGATCTTGCTGCCAGGCCTTTCTCCCTCTGAGCCTCAGTTTCCCCAGCTTGTACAGGGGGTATGGGTCGATTTGAATCCTAGCTGCCTTTGGAGAAGAGGAACAGCCCAGAAAGTCGGGTGTGGTCACTGACAGGGAAGACCTCTCAGGAAGTGTTAGTAACCCCCCCGGGGGGTCAGCCCACTGCTCCACCTCTGCCCGCCCCCCACGAGGTGGCGAGGTTTAGCCCCTGACCATTAGTAGGGGGCCAGTGGGAGGGCTGGGACCTCGGGCCTGGGCTTGGGGGTGGGGGTGGGAGGCCGGCCCAGACACAGCTCCTGCCCTTTTACGGTCTCGCTGAGTGAGGCAGCACTAACTCGGACATCCGCCATCCGCCTTCCACGGTGCCTGGGACCGGAAATGTGGGGAGGGGGGGCAGGGGCAAGGGGTGTGGCTGGGGCCAGTGGGAGAGGAGACTCCCCGGGGAAGAGGGTGAAGGAAGACAGCCTGGCCCCCCGAAAACTACCCGCTCCCCCAAGCAGACCTGGAAGGGCTATCGCTGTAATGGGGGAGAGGGGGGACGGGAAGTCTGGAGGGCGTCTGTGGGGGCCCCTTGTTCCAAACTTTCCAATCGTCCCTTTCCCATCAGAATGAACACATGCGGGAGGCGGGTTGTAAAATAGGAACGCCCCCCTCCCCGCATGTCAGAGGGCAGGGGTACGGAGAATGCGGAGGAAGTGGGAGGATGTGGGCACCACGGGGTTAATCCCCAGCTGTCCCCAGGGGCCTCCCCCTCAAGCCGGGGTCTTTGGGGCAGGAAGTCCCTGAGAGAGTGGAGGAAGGGAGATAGTATTGTCAGGCTCAGGCCACTCGGGAGAAATTATGGGGGGGGGGGTCATGGGGAGGCGAGGGGGAGGTGGGTCCAGTGAGGTCCCCGAGCCTGCACCGGCCCTGCCCTCAGATGAGCCCGGGAGTTTTGAGGGAGGCCCGGGGTAAGACAAGATCCCTGGGTCCCTTGAACCCTCCTCCCCTGGATTAAATTCCTGGGCAGAGAGCTGGAACCATCTGGGAAGCCTGGGTCCCATGGGGCGCGGGGTATGACCTTGACGCTCCCAGCGCGCCCCTTCTCCAACCCCCCCAGTTCCGATGGCGGGAGGGGAGGGCGCTGGGAGAGGGGGAGGCGCCGCGCAGGGGAAGCAGCCGGCCCGCGGGGCCCCTCCCCGCGCCCCCCCCACGCCAGCTGTCTCGACAGGTGAGTCAGGAAGACAAAGGCCCCCCCACTCCCCCAGCTGCCGCGCCCCCTCGCTCCCCGGGCCGCGCAGGTGGGGGAGAGGGGCCGCCCTTCTGGCCCGCGGCCGGGGAGCCGCCCTCGGCCCCGAGCGCCCGCTGGGTCCCGGGCACGGCCTGGTGGAAGCAGACGGTGGGCAGGGAGCGGCGGGGGGATGGGAGTCCTGCCCACACCCTCGAGGCGGCGTCAGGGTCGGTCCGCGCCCACCTCCCCCGAGGACGGGAACCCGTCCAACGTCGGGGCTTAAGTGTCTCCAAGTTGAAGAGGAGCGAGGTCCCGCGCGGGCGCTCTCCCGCGTCGCGCGACGGGGAGCCCCGCACACCAGGGTCCAGCGTCCCGTCACTGCCCCAGGTGCTGGGGACCCTCCGACCGGCCCCCGCAGCCCCTCTAGGCGCCCGAGTTGAGATCTGGGTCGGGGCGGGGGTCCCGAGCCCTGCCTCCGTCCCGGCCCCGCTGCGGGGAGTGCCCGCCAACTTGGAGGTTCTCTGAAAAAGTCTGAAAAATGCGGGAGTCCTCGGAACGCCCCCAAATGTGAGGGCTCGCAGGAGGACCTCCCTGGCACCACCCCGGACCCGGGGAGTCGTGGGGGGAGGGTCAGCATTTGGGGCTCATCCCAGAGGGCCCGGCCTCCACCCCGAGGCCCCCGGCGCCCGGTCCCCGAATCCCAGCCCCGAGCGCGCTGGGGGGAGGGGACAAAGGCGGGGCGGGGAGCGGCGCCGGGTGGCAGGGTCTGGAGGCGGCGGAGGCTCACCTCATGGCTGCTCCGCGGGCGGGCGGCGCGCCCGCAGGGCGGGTGCTCCCGGGGCGCCCCTCGCTCGAGGTTCAGGGGTTCGGGGTCGGCTCCAGGTTCCGCTCAGTCTCCTCCGGGGTCCCGCCCCATAGAGTCCGGCTTCCTGGGGAAAACGTGCACGCGGCCGACGCGGGAACTGGGGGCGCCTCTCCCCTCCGGGGGGGCGTGATCGGGGTCCCTGCGGCAGAAGGGGGTGCGGCGTCCCCTCCGCGGCGCGCCCCCTCGGCCGGCGGCGGCTGCACTGGTACTCTTACTACTGTACTTCTCTTCGCTACATTTCGTTCCAAAATTCCACTCCCCGCACCCACAATGCCCTGCGCCTTAAAGGGGCCGCGAGCCAGTCGAGGCGGCGAGGGGTGCGGCAGAGGGCGCTTGGAAGGGCGACGCGGAACCCTTGACCCGCTATCCCTCTCTTCCCCAACGTTATTGCATGAGTGTGCATGCCGGGGGGCACCCTCACCTGAGGGGGGGAAGCTCGGGGGAGGGGGAGGGCTCCTTTCTGGACACCTAGTTCTGCCCCATGATGCGAATCCTTAGGGGTATCTCAATGAGGACACAATTTGTTCTCACCCTCCCTATATTTCTCCATTTCTTTATATTCTGCTCGATTTGGGGAGGGGGCGAGGAGGACCCTCTGGTTAAGCATAAATTCGCTCAGATTTTTCTCGCTAAATCCTCCTTTTCTGACCCCCAACATTTCTCTGCCAATCTGTGAGGGGTTACTAGGGGTGAACCCTCTCCCCGGCGCGGGAGGGGGGCAGTGGGAAGGGCCCCACCCCTCTCGCTGCCCCCCGCCCGGGCCGAGAAGGTGAGGAGGAAGTGGGCTGAGGGGGCGCGGCCGGCCGCTGACTCACAGCCGCAGGGGGTGGGGGTGCGGCGCTGGACCTGGGTGGGGATGAGACTCCGGGTTCCAGCGTGGATAAAGCCGCAGGCTCCCTCCCCAAGTACGCCCCGCAGGTTCCTCCGTTTTGCCTGCGGAGAATGGCAGGATCTTCCCGCAATCGGAGGGCACGGAGGTGGGGAGACCCTCCCTAGCACCGGTTCCCGCAAGCCCCTTCCCCCACGCGCGGGCTTGCGGGCTGAACCCAGACACCCTCCGAAGCTTCGGCGGCGGGTCCCGGGCCCCGCCCCCGTGACGTCACTCACAAGGTCCCGCCTCCCCGGCACAGCTCCACCTGGCCTAGGTAAGGTGCCCTAGCGAGGGACAGAAACCTGGGAAATCATCAGTTTGACGTTTACAAATGGGTAAACTGAGGCCTGGGGGCAGGGAATACATCTGGGCTATAAGCCTACTTGTCTGAACTCCCAGAACTCCAGTGGTGCTTCGTACAAGGTGTGAGTGTCAAATAAGTCTCAGGGTCCCATTGAGTAAGTGAGGAAGTCTGCCTTCCCAGCCTTTGTCCAACCAAGCCAAATCCTCTGCTTGGATGCTGTCCTGACCTCACCTCATACTCCTAGGACATGTTCTGACATTAATCATTCTCCGCGGAATTGAGTGATCCCCACCCCTTCTCCACCTCACCCTGGAAGACCTTGAACCCTGCTCCGCCTGGGTTATAATGGTTTCTCTGTGTGTCTGTCTCCTCAGGCTGTGAATTCTTTGGGAACAGGGGTCAACTTGATCTATTTCTGTGCCTGACCCAGCCAGGCCCAGAACAGATGCTCAACACACATTTGACTGAAGGAGAATCCTCCGTTCGGTGTGACCTTGGCCGAGTACCGTCTCCTCTCTGGGTCTCAGCTTTCCCATCTGTGAAATGGGAGGGATGGTGCTTCTTTGTCACTACAGTTTTGGGCTCTGGCCCCAGCTTCTGTCTGCACTACAGTCAGCAAACTTTTTCTAAAAAGGTTCAATTAGTAAATGCTTTAGGCATATTAGGTAGAGAGTCTCTTTCACATATTTTTCACAGCCCTTTAAAATGTAAGAACCATTCTTAGCTTAAGTGCTGTGCAAAACAGGTGGCAAGAACCCTGCACTAGCTAGAGCTGACTAAGTAGCTCAGCTGGTTGGAGCATTGTCCGGATACACCAAGGTTGTGGGTTTGGTCCCTGGTCAGGCCACACGCAAGAATCAGCCAATGCATGCATAAGTAAGTACAGGGTTTTTTTAAAAAAAGAATTTATTTACTTATTTTTAGAGAGAGAGGGAGGGAGGGAGGAGCGGGAGAGAAACATCAATGTGGTTGCCTCTTGCGCGCCCCCTCCTGGGCACCTGGCCTGCAACCCAGGCATGTGTCCTGGCTGGGAACCCACACGCTGGCCCTTCGGTTCGCAGGCCAGGATTCAATCCATTGATCCCCACCAGCCAGGGCTATTTACCGTTCCTTTGCTGTCTCCCCCCACACGCTAGGAGCTGGGCCCCTCAAATAGGAATCTCAGCGAGTCCCCCAGTTGATGGCTATGAGCAGGTGCTCAATATATTTGCCAAATGACTGGGCGAACGATGTTTGGGGTATTTTTTTTTTCTACAAGTTAAATGTATTTAATAAAAACTCTCTGCTTCCTCCTACCCAAAACAGATGAGAAACGGGAAGGGAAGAGGTGTTTGAACTGGGTGATCTCTCATCATTTGTTCAGCTCTAAATATTTCACAAACATTCGGTTTGGGGTTTTGGGGGGTTGGTTTTTTTTTCTGTCTAGATAGTGGGTGGAATTTCCCCTCTCATAAGCCTTTTTGTGAGAGGGAAGTCGGAGAAGGGGAAATAAACATTCTGGGTTTCCGCCATCGGCTGCTTTGCGTTGCAGGGGAGGGGGAGGTTTCTAAGTTCCACTGGGGCCCCAAAGGACGACAGCTGTCAGGCCTGGAAGTCCATGGCAGAGCTTGAATGGGTGCCAATGGCCTTCCCAGCCCCATTCTGCACCTTCTGTAACACAAAATATAACAGACGGTAAATAAGCACCCCTTCTTTCCTCTCAGTATCTACTCCCCTAAATTCTGGAAACACCACTTACAGTTCCATCTGGGCTACCACTGTTCCCCACATCTCAGTCCATCAGGTTTGGATGCACTGGACCCCAACCCTAAGCACCAGGGGTGGGCTTGTGACCATAGTCTGGCCAGTCAGAGACACTGTGATTGGCAGGCATGTGACCCAGTGCAGCCAATGAGAATCGGCTCTGGGACCGTTGCAGCAACCACTGGAAAACCCGTGCCTTCTCTGCCCTGAGGATGGTAGGCTTGTGGGATGTGAGGCTGGAGCTGCAACTCTGCTGCCTCCTGCCGAGACCCTGCCTGGGAGTGAAGCCAACTCGGAGGAACTCAGAGACGGTTCCTGATGACATCAACTGACAACTGAACACCGTTCTGCCTTTCATCCCGAACTCTTCAATCACGTGGCTCAGTAAACTCCCCGTTTTGCTTTCCCAGGTTCAGTTGGGTCTCTGTCCCTCACAACTCAAATAATGCTGACAAATACCCCCCTTCTCCTGCTCAGAAACTACCAACAAACCCCCTCTTGTAAGTGGGAATAACCAAACTTTTCTGCTATGGAAGTCTTTGGGCTCTGGCCCCAGCTTTCTCCTTCCCATTTCCGCCCTGAGCCCCACCCATGGCCTCTTTGGACATAGTCTCCAATCCTCGTAGGCTTCGGGGCCCAATCCACAATTTCTCTCCAAGATCCAGACCCTCCTCCCGGATGTCCTGGTCTGCAGCGCATCCAGGCCTGGTCAGCAACATTCCTTGAATTTTTCAGCCTTAATTCCTGGGTGGAGGGGGTGTTGCTTGGAATGATGAGGCTTTATGGACCATGGCAGGGGGCACATTTCTTGGAGGGGAAGCTTGGTCTCTTCTGCTCCTGCTTCCCCCCCCCCCCATTGTACCTTGCACAATTCTTCAGGACAGGAGTGAGAATGTTACTATACTAGGCAAGCCCCTTGTCTGCTGTCTGGCCTCAGTTTCCCTATCACTAAAGGAGGGGGAGTGGGTTGGATTACATGCTGCCAAGAGAAACATTCAAGACACAGGGTCCTGCCCTGACCCATGTGGCTCAGCTGGTTGGGCGTTATCCTGAAAGCAAAGGGTGGCGGGTTTGATTCCCCATCAGGACACATGCCCAGGTTTTGGGTTCTGTCCCTAGTCGGGGTGGTGGCAGGGCTGGGGCAACTGATCCATGTTTCTCTCCTCTTCCTCCCTCTCTTCCCCCTCCCTAAAAGTAAATAGGCAACTGGTGGAAAGTTTTCTCACACCAGTTTCTCCTCTCTCTCAAAAAATCAATAAACATATACTTGGGTGAAGATTTTTTTAAAATTCATGGGGTCCTTACCTCTCAGCACTCCCCCAAGGTCCGGAAGAACTGAGCATAAACTTCAGCAAGGACAGCTGTCCCTGAGAACAGACAGAGACCCTCAGGAGGGGACTCTTCTGGCCACCTCTCCCACTTTCTACCCCAACCCACCCAGACTCACTTGCAGTAGAGCCCTCCCCCGGGAGGTAAGTCCGTGATGTCCTCAGCGGCCGGAGTCCTGAAAACCGTGTTCCGGCTTGGGGACTCCTGGACAGAGGAACCCAGCTCGGAGAGGGACACAAGGGTTATGGGAGCGCCCCTGCTTGCTGACCACGCTTCCCACTGAGCTAGAGTTTCCCGGCCCAGGGCTTCATCCAACGCTACCTCCTTCCTCATCGCCTCCTCATAAGGCCTGGTGTCCCCCTGGGAAGCAGACCAGGATGCAAGTCATGTCTCTCAAATCCCACCAATGTGCCAGTCTAAACCTAGCCATCCCACCAGTACTAATCCTCCAGGCCACGCCCATCACTTTCTAGCCCCGCCCCATCAAACATAAACACGCCCATTCTCCAAAGCGCCTCCTACCCTGCTGTCTAGCTGCAAATCAGGCCTCAAGACCTATTCCGTCCCATCTCTAAAGACCACGTCCTTTCTCTTAAATCCCTTCCACTTATTTAGCCCTTCACGTCTTGCCTCACAGGGTCCCTCTTTCCCTCCAACCACTTTCCCGTCTAGCTTCAAGGCATCCCTCAGATGCCACACTCTCCATATTTTGGCCTTGTGCTATTAATGCCGGCGCCTTTTAGTAGAGCCCCACCCCCTTTTTACTTTCCCTCTCGCCTCTCCATTAAAGCCCTTCTTCCCCAAAACCATTAGGTCCTTCCCCTCGGTAATCCCAAACCCCGCCTCAGGCCCTCGCACGGGCAACTGTCCAACAGCTGCGGACAGAGAAGCTCTGGGGCCAGGCCCAAGCAGAGGCGTGATGTCAACAGTGCCGCCAGGGCAGCGCCAAACTTCGCGTCCTACACACCGGAGGCCAGGAGCATGAACTCGTCCTCCGCACGCCGTGCCAGGGCGGTCACCTCAGGCTCCGCGGAAGCACGCTGCAGCTCAGGAGGCCCTCCCGGAGCCTCTTTGTCATGTTGCCCAGTGCTCGTGACACTGCCAAAGAGCCCTCGAGACTCCGGAGGCAGATGGGGCCGCCCGCGTCTTGGATACATTCGCGTTCCCGGGGCTGGAGGGGTCGATGGTCCTCGGTGCTGAAGGCCACAGCTCCCGCGCGGCTCACCACTGCGCGAAAGTCATCGCAGTGTGCCAGGTACAGAAATCTCGGGGAGACGAGCAACGCCACTGCGGTGGAGCCTCTGGGCTCGCTGCGTGGCCAGAGCTAGCGCAGCTGCGCGTCAGCGCTCAAGAAGGCACCGCGAAGCTTCCTGCACAAGCCCTCGGGCTCGTCAGGCGCTGTGCCCAATCCCTCAAGCACGTGGCCTGGCAAGCGGCTCGCGCCGAAGAGGGCTGGTTGCGCCCCGCCTTGGCCGTCGAGGACAGAAAAAAAAAAGCCCAGCCTGCGGGCACCCAGGGTAACTGGAGCCACGCGCAATGCGCGTCCTCCATGTGCGCGCGCCAGCCCTGAGCTGCGCTCGCCCCGAAGCGCAGGCCCCAAGATGCTGCTTCACCCCCGTGTGGCCATTGGGCGCACTGCGGCGCGTCCGGAAGGAACCGAGACCTGTCCCGAGCCCCTGAGCCCCCGCGTCCTCTCTCCTGCTCTTCTTTCTTGCGAGCTGAACAGAGGAGACCTGCAGCAAGAGCGGGCAAGAGCCGCCATCCTTCCGCCCTGGGGTCAGGGAGGCTCCGCCCTCCGCACTTGTCCCCCAACTGCTTTAATTCCCTCCACTGTCAGATTTTTAAACCACCGAAATCTCCTTGCTATGCCCTTGACCCGCACTCAGGTCGAATCACTAGAAGAGACTGGACTCCTGGGTCGCCTTTCTCTCGCACCTTCAAAGAGAGGTTGGGGATCAGGGTCACGGAAAAATAACAGTAGAAAATTAGCATTTACCATGTGCTACACACTATTGTACATCATCATTTCCGATTTACCGAAGAGAAAATTGAGTTGCTGAACAAGCAGGAACACGAACTCTAGAATCCCTGTTCTCCACTCTACACTTTTTAAAATATAATTCACTTATGTATTTATTTTTAGACAGAGGGCGAGGGAGGGAGAAAGACAGGGAGAGAAATATCAGTGTGTGGTTGCCTCCCACCCAACCCCCGCTGGGGGGCCTGGCCTACAACCCAGGCATGTGCCCTGACTGGGAATCAAACTGGTGACCCCTTGGTTCGCGATTAATCCACTGAGCCACACCAGCCAGGAATCCACTCTATACTCTTGGCTTCAGTCCCCAGCTCAGCTCTGTCCATGCTCCGTCCACCTCACCTGTTTTAAAATCTCTTAAGTCCTTCACTTGTTTTTAGTTTTACCCCACCCCTTCTGGGTCTCGACCCCGAGCTCAGGTTGCTTCTTTTCCAGGTTCTGCCACTCACACAAGCCCACAGCCTCAAACTCAATTTTCTCAATTCTGGCCCCACCTCCTAACCACAGGCCAGGCTCCCCATTCTGCCTAGCCAAAGCTGGCCTCCTCCCTTTAGGTCACGCCCACCTGGGCCATACCCCCTTATGTGCCAGTTCTATTTCCTTTAGGCCACGCCTCTAGCTTCTCTGTCTCGACTGTCCCCTCTACAGAACCCATAATTCTAAATAGGCATAAGCACCACCATGTCTGGGATCCTCCGCTGGTCTCAAAACTTTTTGGGTAGTTTATATCCTCCCTCTTTCTCACTCCCTCTGAAAATCTAGGCTTAATTCCTACCTCAAAGCAGTAGAATCTTTATACCCCCTACTCAGTGCCATCCCTAACCACGCCCCTATGAGATACACGCCCCTCCATTCTTTCCCGAGCCCCACGCCCAACCCTAGGCCCCGCCCCTTTTCCTACTGGCCTCGCCCCCTTCCATCTAGACTACGCCCTTCAGACCGCCTTCTACGACTTCTGGGCTCCATGGCCATCCTCCGAGCCCCGCCCCTCTCGTAGACAAGCTCCGCCCCTTATCCCTTGCTCCACGGAGTTGTCCCGCCCTCTGCCCTTCCTCAGGTCCCGCCCCGTCTGTCGTCTGGCCCCGCCCCCAGCCCCGCGCTGCAGTGCCTTCCCCACCGTGGCCCCTCCCGCCGCCGAGCGGAGCAGAGGGCGGCGGCAGTGGTGGTGGCTGCCGGAGCAGCCCGGGAGGAGGAAGCGGCAAGGATGGCGGCGGCGGCGGCGTGGGCTCGGTGGAGATGAGTGCCCGCGGCCCCAGGCCCAGGGCGGCGCGGCCGGAGTGGGCGGGGGTCCCGATGCAGTCCCAAGGGGGGCCATGGGGCAGGTCCTGCCGGTCTTCGCCCACTGCAGTGAGTAGGGGCAAGCTCGGGCCTGGGGCGGGGCCCGGAGGCTCGGGAGGGCTCGTCCTCGGCTTCCTCTCCGCGTCCGGCCGCGGGAGAGCGGGGAAGGGGGAGGAAGAGAAGGAGACAAAGGAAACTCTCCCCTCCCCCGCGACGTAGTGGCGACGGGGGCGCCCTGACCCCGAGGACTGGAGTGAGACAGGGCGGAGTCGGGGGCGCGGAGAGACCCGGCGTGGGGCGCCCTGGGTGCCAGGCTGGGCGGCCGGGCCCCGCCCTGGGATGAGCACGTTGCCCGGGAGCTGTCCCCTTCCCTGGTGCTGGCCGCAAGGGAAGAGCCAGGATGGAGAAAAGGGGTCCGACCCCCCCACCATCGCCCACCTTCGCATCCCACCTCCATTTAATGCGCGGACTCGCAGGCAGCCCCGACCTCGCCCAAACTGCCCAACCTCCTGTCGCTGGGAAACAGCCATTCCTGGGGGGGGGGGCGCCAAGGCTCCTGGGTCCACAGCGGGCTTTACCACTGACTAGGAGTGATCCTGGAGGAGATTCACTCTGCTCCGGGCCTCGGATTCCCGGCATTCGGGTCCCCGGCTAAGGAAACGGGGGGGGGGGGCATCTGATTCCAGTTTCCGGGGGCACTGAGCGTTTCCCGCAGGCAAAGCCCCAGGCTCCGTAGGCTCTGAGATGCAGACTGGATTTCACACCCAAAAACACCTCGCCTGATCCTCGAGATCTCTGAGGCCAGAGCTTTAACAGCCCTCCTCTAACACTCTCTGTCCCATACCCCCGGGGATTCTGACCGCTGGGGGTTTCCACACCCGCCGATCTAGCTCCTTGCATGTCCGGGGAAGTCCAGATGCCAAAATCCTAAGAATTTGTTACTTCAACATTTTTGAGCAGCATCCCAAGATTCTAAGATCTTGTCCTTATCTTGGCTTTCAAAGGAGGGCCCTGCACGATCTTTCTCCTCCACCTTATCTATTTTCCCTCCCCTCCCCTCCCCTCTGCACCGCGCTTTTCCTCAAACATGCCAACCAGTGGCTACCTCAGGGCCTTTGCACTGAGTTTCCCATCTGCCAGAAAGACTCTTCCCTAGAGTCTAGAATCTGGATAAGAATCTAGATATACTAGGGACTCTAGATATTCCCTAGTATCTGCATGGATTCCTCACTTCATTCAGACCTCTGCTCAGATGCCAGCTTATCAGAGAAGTTCTCCTGACCACGCTGTTTGAAACAGCGCCTTCTCCCTTACTGTTCCCTCACCCAGATTTATTTTTCTCCACATGCTTAAAGCACCCAGCGTCATATATTCAGTTGATTATTGTCCGCCTCCTCCTTAGAGAGTAAGCTTTATGAGGGCAGCGATTTTGTCTGTGTTGCTTACAGTCGTGTCCTTAGGGTCTAAAACAATGCCTGGCACGTGTTGGGCCCTCCACAAGCGGTAGTTGAAAGAATGAGTGGCTCGAAACCTCCTAAAAGTCCTCACCTGAAGATTCGGAGGTTAGGGTTCCTGGGTTTGAACTTCTAAGCCTGAGCTTCTGCTAGAAGTGACAGGTTCTACAGCCTGGATGCAGAATGTTCTCAAAGGCCCCACACGGTTCAAATATTCTAAGATTCCTTATTTCGCGCCATCCAAGTTCCCAGATTGAACAGGTCAGTGATTGGGACAGTCTAAATCTCTGAGAGTCTTTGACTTTTTCCCTCCTGCAGAAGAAGCTCCATCGACAGCCTCTTCTACCCCTGACTCCACGGAAGGTAAGTAGAGGGGGCGGACGTGAGACTGGAACTTGACGGGGGCTCGCAGCTTACCCTCCCAGGAGGGTTGAGCAGAGTGGGTCGGAACCTTGCCCCGAGGAGCTCACGCCCTCCTTTGCACGCTTGCAGGAGCAAACGACGACTCGGACTTTCGGGACCTGCACACAGCCCGGGAATTCTCGGAGGACGAGGAGGAAGAGACCACTTCGCAGGACTGGGGCACCCCCCGCGAGCTGACCTTCTCTTACATTGCCTTTGACGGCGGCGCGGTGGGCTCCGGAGCGCGCCGAGATTCCTTCACCCGCCGGCCCCGACCCCAGGGCCGCTCAGTGTCCGAACCCCGGGACCCACACCCTCAGCCTGGCCTGGGCGACAGCTTGGAGAGTATCCCCAGCCTGAGCCAGTCCCCGGAGCCTGTACGCCGGGGAGACCCCGACTCTGCCCCGCTGGCTGAGCACCCCCTGGAAGAGCTGGGGCTCCAGCTGGGCGAGCTGGACTGGGCGGCCCGGGGGGCGGGATCCGGGGAGGACTCTGCCACCGGTAGCTCCACCCCGCTGGAGGACGAGGAGCCCGAAGCATCAGAGGCAAGGGAGGCTGGGAAAGGTGAGATGTCCTGAGGTGCTGGGACCAAAGTCACGAGGGTGGGTAGTCTCTTCTCAGGGCACCCCCAAGGCGAAAGCTCACGGCCTTCTCTCTCTCTAATGCACCAGAACTGGACGTACAACTCGGACTCGCTCAGTCCTCGCCGCCCGAAGACTTGACTCCACAATCCAGCCCTGGCTCTGGGAACCCCCAGGCCTGTACCCCATCTCCACCCGGATCCCGGGATTCGAACTCTTGGCCTGAGGAGCCCTCGCCGGATGAGAAAGAGGAAGAGCCATGGGGGCCGCTGGCTCGGGAGCCAATCACGGGGCAGTGCCTCGTTTGCACGGACCAATCAGAATTCACATTGGAACCACACCTTCTAGGTAAAGTGCCTGAGCGCAAGGGCATCTTTGGATTACTGCGTAGGAGGGAGGACTGCAGTTTAAAGGGACCAACTTCGGGAAGGAGCGGAGGAGAGTGGAGAAGGAAGAAGGTATCTTACTATTGGCTAGACAATACAAACTCCACCCGCCTGCCGGCATGAAGATGGGATAGTTGCTAAGAAATAATCCCTTCTCTGGAGTGCTCCCCCTAGGGGCTGGTTGTGGATAGGCCAAATCCCTGAAAAAATAAGGCCGTCTTCTAAATGTGGCTGTGAGACACTGATAAGTAAACTCTGTGCCTTTTAAAAACTCCCCTCTACCCTGGCCACAGCAATTAGCCAGTTGCAAATAGACCCTGCCTTACTTTATAATGTGTTCAGCCTCCATGAACCGCCAAGGGTTGCTTACAGACATCGTTGCTCTTGGCTGTTTACAAAGAAAGCCACCCTTTTTTGGAATTGTTCCCACCTCTATGGAGAGCCATTGGCTGGATAGGAAGGGGCCCCGCCCCCCCGCTCCCGCCCTCCGGGTTCCACCGAAGTGGGCAAAATCCTCGAGAATCAGCGGTGTCCGCAGCCTCTCACTCGGAGCAGAGATGGGGAGTAAAGGTGGGCTTGCAGGGTCGAATGGGACGGGGGCTGGGGGGCGACGGGAAGGAATCTAGATTCGCTGTAGCCTTCAAATCTAGGGGGATGTTTCTTATTGGTCACAGATTCCCCAGGGCTGCAGGCTGGGGCTGGGGGACTTTGGGGCTGTCTAGGGAGAGTGTGGAGGGAGCGTGGGGTACCCTCTCCCCCAAGACAGGGCCCGGGAGCCTAAGGGCGGGGAGGCCCCTTCCCCCAGCCGCAGGCCCAGGCGGCGCTGTCTGTCACTCAGGATCTGGATGGGCCAGCACAGCTGCAGGCCAGGCCCCCTCCCCCCAGCGTGCCTAAACTTAGCCCCCGCCTCAGGCGACCCGGCCCCTCCCCCACCCATTGGCACGGGCTTCGGGGAGACTGCGGGGAAAGGCCCGACGTGTTGGGGTTGGGGAGAGGCCTGCCCTAGTTCGATGTGGATGGGAGGACGTGTAACAGGGAGGCTACGGAAGGGAGGGGAGTCAGACTGTCAGTTCCATTGGTACGAGGGTGAGAGGATGGGAAAAGTCTGGAAAGAATTGGAGGGTTCCGCGTTCCTGGTTCGGGGCTCAGATGGGATTGGATTATTGGGAGGGTTGATAAAGTTTATTTGGGTGAGATGAAACATAGGGGGCCAAAGGTCATAGGTCAGGGCTCAGGTCAGGCTTGAGTTTAGGGGCTCAGAAAGAGGTCAGAACTGGGTCCTGGCTGGGTGGCTCAGTTGCTTAGGGCATGGCCGGGGTCCGCCAAAGTGGTGGCTTCCCCCTCTAGTCCAGGCACATGCAAGAAGCAACCAATGATGGTGTTATTAATACATTGAGGACTTAGAAAAATATGTTGGTAGGAGTATCAAGGAGATACCACTTTACACCTATCAGGTTGCTCCAAAATAAAAAGAACAGTAATGCCCACTCCTGGGCAGGATGCTGGCAAAGAATCACTCTTACTTTGCTCATGGAAATAAGAATCGGTACAGTCTTGCTAGTAAGCAATCTGAGAATATGACATTCATAAATCCATAACTAGTCCACCCAGCCATTCCACCCCTGGAATTCTATCTTCTAAGAAATTCTGGGAGGTACGAATATCCGTAGAACGTTAGTGCCTGCAAGTACTGTCGGGGGGAAAGAAGGTTATGAAATAAAATGAATGGTCCAACAATAGATACATGAGTGGATACAATGAATGATAGTGTAGCTACACTACAGAGTATCATGGTGGTCTTAAAAAGAATGAGTTTGGCCTGGCTGGTGTGGCTCAGTGTATTGAGTGCTGGCCTGTGAACACCAGGGGTTACCGCCAGTTCGATTCCCAGTCAGAGCACATGCCTGGGTTGCAGGCCAGTTCCCAGCAGGGAATGCGCAAGAGGCAACCATGCATTGTTATTTCTCTCCCTCTCTCCTTCCTTTCCCCTCTAAAGATAAATAAATAAAATCTTTAAAATTTTTTTTAAAAAGAATGAATTAAAAGCTATTCTAGTTGACTAGCAGAGAATTCTAGGAGAGGAAGTAGAATGAGATATGTATGAAGTAGAAAAATATATGGTTCCATTTTTTTACAATTTTCTTTATTCATTTTTAGAGAGAGGGGAAGGGAGGGAGAAAAAGAGGGAGAGAAACACCGTGGTGTGGTTGCCTCCCCTGCCCCACCTACTGGCCAGCAACCCAGGCATGTGCCCTGACCGGGAATCGAACCGGCCAGGTTTGCAAACCGGCCCTTTGGTTTGCAGGCCAGCACTCAGTCCACTGAACCACACCAGCCAGGGCTATATGGTTCCATTTTTCATACATAGTGCCCAAAATTATATCCACACACCACCTATAAGTAGGAGTAAGAAAGAGACTTGCTAGATGGTTAACTTGGGTTTTCCTAGAGGAGAAGAGGTGAGGCAACAAGGACTGTGTGTGTGTGTGTGTGTGGTGGGGGGGGTCTCAGTTCACCCCTGAGGCGGGAAATGGGAGGTCCGGAGGTCATCCAGGGCAGGCGGAACCGGGCCTGACTGCCGCCCTCCCCCACAGTGGCGGACCTGCTGTACTGGAAGGACACGAGGACGTCAGGAGCGGTCTTCACGGGCCTCATGGTCTCCCTGCTGTGCCTCCTGCACTTTAGCATCGTGTCTGTGGCCGCCCACGTGGCCCTGCTGCTGCTCTGTGGCACCATCTCTCTCAGGGTTTACCGAAAAGTGCTGCAGGCTGTGCACCGGGGGGACGGTGCCAACCCCTTCCAGTGAGGACCCCCCAGCCCCTCACCCTGAGACTCTGTCCAGACCCCACTGCCGGACCTAAGTCATGACCCCTGACCTCAGGTCAGGCACCGACTTCCCACCCTGGTGCTGAACCATCCTGCTCTTCTTTCTGGCTCCAACCTGACCCTGACTTTAAAACACACTCTTACCCTTCACTTTTGGCTTTAACCTCTGATCCTAACCTCTTAGGATCCCGAATCCTTGATCCCATCTCCTGATCCTGACGTTGACCTTAGCCCTGTACACCTGGCCTTCTCCCCCACCCCCAGTTCTTGCCCTTGTTCCAGCCACACCTCTCAGCCTGGGCCCCATGCACCCCCTGAGTCACCTCACCCCTCTTTGTCCTCTCAGGGCCTATCTGGACGTGGACCTGACCCTGACTCGGGAGCAGACAGAACGTTTGTCCCAGCAGATGGCCTCCCAGGTGGTCTCTGCGGCCACCCAGCTGCGTCACTTTTTCCTGGTAGAAGACCTTGTGGACTCTCTGAAGGTGATCGCAACCCCCATTCCCTTCTGGGTTCCCAACATTCACCTCCCTGCCCCTAGCAGGGGTGGGGGGTAAGAGGGCCACTTCGGGGTAAGTTCACGGCCTGGGGAGTGCTTTATAGGCTCTGCTGACCCTGACCCTCACCCCCAGCTGGCCCTTCTCTTCTACATCTTGACCTTCGTGGGTGCCGTCTTCAATGGTTTGACACTTCTCATTCTGGGTGAGCTGGGAAGGCTGTGAGGGCTGGGCGGCGAGGTGGGCCCCGGGGTGGATGACGAACAGGGCTCTGGGTGGAGTTGGGAATCTGTTGGAAGGACCCTGACCTCCGTCTCTGTGCCCACAGGAGTGATCTGTGTATTCACCGTCCCACTGCTGTACCGGCAGCACCAGGTGGGTGTGACGGGCCCTCGGGTGGCAGGGTCCCAGCCAAGTGTGGGTGGTCTGTCTGCCCCACCCCCGCCTCTGTAACCAGGGTCCCAGTGACAGATGTCCCAGCCAGAGACGGAGCATGAACTGGTGTTTCTTCCCTTGAAGGAATTAGGATCTGACTGACGTATGTCCCAACCGGACACTGGTGGTGTGGCTGCTGCCCTTCCATGGAGCTAGAGTCCAACTAACACGTTTCAACAGCCAAACACAGGCGTTTGGGTTGGCGTCCCCTAACAGAGCCAGGATCTGGCTGACATGCCCCGACCCGAGGCCGGTAGACCAACCAGTGCTCCTCCCTGACACTGCATCCATGGTCTGACTGCCATGTCCTGGCTACAGAGACTCGGTCTAACCGGTGTCTTTTCTCCCTGACATAGCCTCAAACGGCACAACACTGATCTCAGCCAGAAACAAGCAGACAGGTGAATGCCTTGTCCTGACACCGCAGAGGCTGATAAACAACACATATTCCGGTTGCAGACAGACAGACAAACTGATGCCATCTAGCCTTACACCTGGTCTGGGTCTGATGGACACCATCCCAGCCAACACAGCTGGACTGACTGATGCTCTCACTCCCCAAGGCCAGCTGACATCCATCCCATCCAGAGACGGGGGGCTGAGGGCCCAATAACACGCCTGCCAGCGAGATCATTCTAATTCCTTCCCATGCCTCACAGTCAACTAACACTGAATTAAACTAGTATTTAGATTGATGACAACCAGTGCCGACACCCTCTACTTTCACCCGACCCCTAAACATACGTACACGTCGCTCACCCAGAGATTAACAGTCAGGCCTCGGTAACAGACTCACTGTCCAATTCTGGTATGTTTGCATGACATCACTCCCCACCCAGAGCGAGGCCCAACGGACTGACACTTCATCTTGAACTTCTGTCCTCCGGGGTACTGTATGAGGCTTAAAGGTGGGCCACTCCCCCCAGCTCCTGATTTGGAGGTGGGGGAGGAAGCAATTCATCCAGAGCCTTCTGAATGAATTAGGGAGAGGAACCCCCTTCTAATCTCTCCTTTGATCTGTTCTTGGTCCCTGCAGGCCCAGATCGACCAGTATGTGGGATTGGTGACCAATCAGTTGAGCCACATCAAAGCTAAGTAAGGGCATGAGGTGGAAGCGGATGAGATGGGGGCGGGGGGGGGACTGGGAACCCCCGTCCCGTTCCCTGTCCCTAAATCTCCTGGGAGGGTGCCACTCAGGTCCAACGCAGGCCATTAGATGGAGGGCAGGGCTGGCTTTGGGCGAGTTCCTCCAACAAGCTTTCCCCTCGTTGTCAGATACTGACCCGCCTCTGCCCCCACCTGATTCTGCGTGTTTTTCCTCAGGATCCGAGCTAAGATCCCAGGGACCGGAGCCCTTGCCTCCGCAGCAGCCACAGTCTCTGGATCCAAAGCCAAAGCCGAATGAAAAGGGTGTCTCTGCCTGCGGGACACCTGCTCCCACCCCCTGCACAGCCCTCTGCTCCCCTTATTCTCCCTTTCATCCCCACCCTCTTCTTCCTTTCTCAGCCCCAGCCATTTTCGGGTGGGTGTCTGGATCACTCACACCAGGGAGTTAGCGCAAATTGCCTGAGCGGCCGGGACTACATTTCCCATGAGGCTCTGCTCTAAGAGTCCAGGGAAAACGAGGCACCTTGGCCAGGGTCCTGCTGGGACTTGTAGTTGCCTAGCTAGGGCACCTGCCCTGCACTTACGCGAACCCGCCTCTGGAGGCGCCGTGAAGGGTTGGTGTCTTCTGGACGCTACTGGGCCCAACGCCGCCGGGGCTTTGCATGGGGCTCAGGGGAGGGCAGAGCTTGGATTTACACTGTAATAAAGACTTCTGTGGAAAACCCAAGGCTTCCTGTTCTTCAAGCACCCTGCAGCTTTTACCTTCACTTAAAGTACTTAAACAATATGCAATGAGGACCCTTGCCCATCTATGTGAAGGAAGCCCCCTCTACCATCTGTTTAGATTATGAAATGATTGGGGGGAGGATGCTGAGAAATTGCCAGTCCCAGGGCTAACCAAGCATTGGCAGCCACTTTCAATACCTGTGCAGAAGGCAGACATCACTAGTCAATCCCCACATCTGACCTCTATGCAGCCATCTCATGGGGATCCAGACCGGTCCAACTGCCTTCTGAACCACTGCCCTGCAAACATCCAAACCCCTAAGTTGTCCTGCCTGATTTCCAACTCAGGGATGCTCTCTCTGCCCGCATCATCACCCCGCCTGAGACCGGGGTTGGGCCCTGGGCCTCTATTCCCTCACCTCCCACATCTAATCAGTCAGGAAGCCATGTCTATTTCATCTCCCAAACCTCTCTCGGCTACCCTGTTCTTCCTATTCCAACTGTGCTGGGACCAAACACCGGGCCTCATGGCCTCTCTGGGCCTCAGGTTCGTGGAAGCTGAGGGAGGAAGAGAAAGGACACCAGAGTCTAAAGGTTTACAGACCTGAATTTGAATTCCAGTTTTACTACCTCTTGGCTGTGTGACTTTGAGCTAGTGACTTCACCTCTTGAAGCCTTAGTTTCCTCGAATGAAAAAAGGTCGCCATAACCATGTGTACATGTAAAGCCCTTGTCACAGGGCCTGCCATGTAATATACATCCATGAAACAGAAGCTGCTATTGTTATTTTCGGCGTGATTTCCCAAACCTCAGTCCTTTCCTCACCACCTTCAAGATGACGATGTCACCTGTTCTATTTACCTACTATTGTTTTAACTCGGTTTATTAAAAAGACAAAACAAATATTTTTTTAAAGTATTTTTTAAAAGATTTTCTTTATTTTTCGACAGAGGGGAAGGGAAGGAGAAAGGGAGAGAAACATCTGTGTTCGCTTGCCTCTCACGCGCCCCCTGCTGGGGACCCGGCCTGCAACTCAGGCGTGTGCCCTGACTGGGAGTTAAACCGGGCAGAGACTCTTGGCTTCGCAGAGCGGATGCTCAATCCTCTGAGCCACACCAGCCAGGACAACACAAGTATCTTTTTAAAGGAAATGTTACTTCACCACTAAGGACCAAAGTATCACTTGTCAGAAAGAAATAGAAGATAACAGTAATAACAAACAAAATTATCAATATTTTAAATGTTTGTTTTGCATCACCTAAAATTATCTCACTTGCCTCTAGCAACGCGTTACATTTTAGGAGAGAGATGATGTTACAGGAGCAGTAGTTTCAGCCCCAGAATTTGTATCCAGGGGTTACCTAGCCATTACTATTTAACTAAAAGAAAGGGGAGTTGGGGGGACGCTTTTCTCGAATCTGGATTTGCCAAGCAGAGGCAATGTTTTAAATTTCCCCCCCCCAAAAAAATTAACATACTTCTAGTCACACTTTCAATTAGACAAAGTGTTCTTTTGTCCATATCAAAGAGTGGAAGAAGCAGGACTGGTTGAAATTATGGGTCCAGGAACGACTGAAGTCTCCGAGCCCATCTTTGGCACTCCCACCACCGCCCCCATCCGGGAGGCTTGGGAAACAGGTTGCCTATTGAACAGCCTTTACTGAGCAGCCTCCTAATTGCCTGGCCCTGCGCCATACTTTTATATCTATCTGCTCATTACCATTCCTCCAGTAAAATCACTTGTACTGGTCTTGTCTTCCAGATGGGAAAACTGAGGCTTAGAGGATAGTAATAATAATCTCTGACTCGTACATATATTTACTAAGCGTCCGCTACATGCTCAAGCACTCTTTAGGACTTAGGGATTCAGAAATGAACCAAAACGAAGTCCATAGTTTCATGGAACTAATATTCTAGTGGGAAAAGACAGACAGGAAGCAAGCAGACATAGATAGACTACGGCAGCGTGATGGAGAAGAGGCCAGCAGGGTAAGGGGACAGAGTGACAGGACTTGCTATTTTAAACGGGTGGTCAGGGAAGGTCTCACTAAGTGGTGATATTGGAGCGGAGGCCGGAGTGAAGGGAGGCAGTGAGTCACGTGAACATTCGAGGGAAAGGAGATTCAGATGCCGGGATCAGCAAACGCAATGGCCCTGAGGAGGGAGCATGCGTGCTGTGTGTAGCAGAATATATTTATGCCAGAAGTCAAGTATCGAGGAAAGAGTAGTAAATGGGGTCAGAGGCATGAAAGGGGTTGGATTCTAGGGATTCATTTGTGAGGTTGTGGTGAGAACTTTGACTTTTACTCTGAGATGGGAGCCATGGGAAGGTTTCACGTCGAGGAGAGATATTGTTGTCAAAGGATCATTGACTTTGGTAATAAAAGGATAACCTTTTGGGTAATAATAATAATTATGACACACGGGTTCGATTCTTCCAGGTGGGTGGGCTGCAGGAATTACGGTGCTGTTTGTTTCTAAGCCTCATCTTCCCCGACCATAAAATGCACGCACAGAAATGGGTTATTTCTAGAGGTTAAGCTGAATGGGGACAGAATTTCTGTCATCCCTAGTACCTAGGACAGTGCCTGGGACGTAGTAGGCGCTCAGTAAATACTTGAATTAACACAGGGTCCCGTAAATCGCTGAAGTTCCATAAAAGAACAGCAGGTGTCGCACCATCCCATTAAACCGCCTGCCGGAGCCTCCGGGGCTTGACGAAGACTCGAACAGGAACTCATTCACTCGAATTCGGATTTTCCAGGGTAAGGAGTTTCCGAAGGCTGAATTATGTATCTCTTCTCTTGAGAAACTGATTTCTCACATGGAAAAAGAGGCTCTGGCCCTTTAACAACTACAGGCATCAGCCAGGTTCTCTGGAGTCCGTTCCCAGAATGCGCAGCGCTATGCAAATGAAGGTTCCTGGAGCGAAGATGATTTGTAGCATGTGAGTAAACATAATATTTTGGAAGGCTATCTGCCATAATAAATGGAAAGAATTTGTAGATATTGAAGTAAACAATCACATAACCTGCCCCAAATTAAGCCACCACAAGTCTAAAAATTAATGAGTCTATGGCCTTTATATAGCTCAGTGGGGACACCCCATTATCGCCCGGATGATCCTCAGTGGTCTGGGGTGCAGGCTTCAAACCTGTAGCTGTCTAGCGACAGAGTGGTTCAATTCCACCTTTCGGGCGGCTAAACAACGCGTTTCTACTTTTCCTCCACGTAAAACTGGACTTTACAACGCGAATTGAGGCAGTGCGGGTTGACGCCAGCGCCTGCAGAGGTCGCTGCAGCCCTACGCATCACAAGCCCCTCGGGTCTCTCTTCCTGTGGTTACATCTTTCCCGCGAATATCAAAGACAACTCCAATAGATGAAAAAAATACTCCGCTACCCTCCCTGTTCTAGGATATTTAATTTGAGAGTTATATTGGATTTCTCTCGTTCGCTTACTCACCCGCTCTGTCATTTTTGCTTATTCACGTACTTAATCACACATGCACTTTATTAACCAGTCATATATGTATTCATTTTTCATTAGTTCATTCACTCATGCAACAGATACTTGCTCTATGCCCGGGCCTGCACTGGGCCGTGCTGGGGCACAATGGTGATGACGACCCTGGTGGCCCTGATCTTATGGTACTCCCAGCCCCCTGGAGAAAACAAACATTAAACAATCATTTATTATACATTTGATTAACCGTTAGGAAGTGGTGACTATAGGGAAGAAAAGTACGAATCATATGGGATTATCAAATAAGAGGACCCGAGTTCAGGTAGAGTGTCAGGGTAACATTTGAGCAGACACCTGAAGGGCAAGAGGTGATTAGCCAGCTGCGGGAGAGATAGATATTCCTGGTCACAGTCAGGGTGGCCCCAGTACTGGCTATGGGGATGGCGATAATTGCTTCTTTGCTCTGCAAAGCGCTGTCACCCACGAGTTCCCTGACTCCTCACTCCAGGTCCATTCTGCAGCTGAAGAAACCAAGGTTCAGGGAGATGAAGTTTCTTGTCCAAGGTCACTCAGCTTTTGGTAGGCCTCCAGTCCCAGGCTCACAGACACCTGGTCCATGCTGTTTACCACTTCCCTGTGCTGTCTTTCCCAAGCCAGCTCCTCACCAACTCCTGTCTCTCCTGCCTCCTAAATGACTTTTAGATTCTTCACTTTCTCTCTCTCTCCCACAGCCCTGACCCTGTTACAAGACCCTCTTGGACCACATTGTCCCCAGCTTAGCATCCTCCCCAGTCTCCAGTCCCAGTCTTACCCCTTTTTCTCCCAGCTACCCTCAAGCTGAAGGCTAGAGAAGCCTCCCTAAACTATGAACCTGTCCCTGTCTTTCTGACTCTCAGAACCTGCCACGGCTCCCCATTTCCCTCAAAAGAAGCTCCAAATTCTTTGTCTGGAATCGATGTCTGCAGAATGCAGTCCCTGCTCACCTCTTTCTCTGCACATTTTGTCCCAGCCACCATGAACCTCCAGCTTTCTCAACATATCAAGCCTCTCCACCACCAGCTCTTTGCACTCAGTGTTTCTCAGCTTCGGTCTTTTCCTATTGCCTTCTATATCCCCTATTTATCCTCTAGGACTCAGCTTTGCTGTCTTCTTCTCCCAGAAGCCTTTCTGGACTCCTGGACCAGGTTAGATTCCCCGCTCTAGACTCCCCCAAGCCCATGGACTCTCCCAATCCTGTCCACTTTGGATCGTCCCTAACAGTGTCTCCCACTGGACTGTGAACCCCAGGAAGGGATAGCCTGGGCCTGTCTCAGTCCCTGCAGGGTCCCCAGCCCCACCCAGCAGGGGGCTGGGTTACACAGCAGGTGCTCAGCAAAGCTTAAAAAATGAATTAGTAAATTAAGTGATTCCACCATGACAGTGTCCCCAACTTGGTCATTTAAGTCACTAGGCATTGAAACAACCTCCGGACCATCAGTTCCATTTCCAGAGCGCTTGCTGCTATGCAAATAAGCTTGGATTTTGTTATGGGAATGGCTCAGCTGTATCTTTTGACAAAGGAACTATATTTCTGCTTCAATCCATCTTAGATTGACTCTGATATGTTCATAACCCAGAAGTAGTCATGCAAACGCAAGAGGAAACTCATTTTTCATATTTGTTATCACCCATATTTTTATGGTCCATAAACTTCCAAAGCCCAACTCAAGTTCTTCAGGAAATCAGGATGTATACTTCCAGCTGCTCTACCTGTGACATTGTGGCTCAGACCATCCCCAGAACACACAGGGTCCAATGTAAGTTCCTCCCTCACAAGGAAACACCATGGCTCTTTAGCATTTCAGCACCACACACCTCACAGCTAATATTCCGTCTATTTTTTTCCAGCAGATGGCACAACTCTGTGTGTGGAAAGTCCTCCTGACAGTCTATCCTCCCTCCATCCTGCTGTAGGCTGACTCGCCATATATATATATTCCCCACAGTGAACCTCGCTCCTCCTGGTTGAAAGGAAGGCAGATGATGGGTATCAGGAGAAAATAGATGCTGAGGCTTGGTGGATGCATTTTAAAAAGCTTTTTATTGGCGACAGTGCAGAACCGTGGGGGGAGGGCAGTGGCCCAGGGCCAGCCAGTCCCAACCCCCGGGGTCAGGTGCAAAATACAAAAAGAGAATCACAAATACAGAATGGGGTGGGGGGAATTCAATAAATCAAGGTCTACAGAAGCAGGCCTTGCTCACAGTCTCACACTTGCACCCAGAATTCTCGAAGACACCGATTGTAAAAGTCTATGATCCCTCGGGCTCACAAAAATAAAATCTCATGTCCCCAGAGAACCCAAAGTCAGAAGGCAGCTGGACATTCGAGGAAAGTCAGAAA